ATTTGCATCATTAGGAGGAATTAGACAGAAGAATGTTATGGTTACATATGCTGAAAAATATTTCTTTCTCCCAAAGACTTAGTGTTTTTTCAGCAAGAAGAATAATTTAAGGATACTTGGGCAGAATACATATAAGTACATACAGTACATCTTTACAATCATAAGTCATTTTTAAATTCAGATAGATTAAGAAAGCCCATCAAAATAAATACTGATGAGAAAAGTTCCTTTAAGGAACTAAAAGTTTTATTCCTTGGCAAAGATTAAATTTAAAAATTCAGTACAGTATATTGATTATGTTTATGTACAGCAGTGAACATATTTAAAAGTGCTGGCAAAGCTATCTTAATAACATTTTTTTTCTTTTAAATATTTGCAGATGTGGAGTTCCCTCAGACACCCCAGCCATCAGAAACGATTCTCCCAGTGAGTGTCTTTCAAATTTCATTACATAGTCCACACCAAACTATTTATAATTTCATTGTTTTATCTATTACGATTTTACTCTGATTGAAAACGTTTATAATTGTTCTGTTATTAGTCATCATCTGAACCACCAAGCGAAGTTTCAGGAACAGAAGTTGATGCATTTGGGATTATTGGTCCAAGGGTAAGATATTGACATTTTTAGAAAATGGGTCAATGATATGTTATCAACAAAATCAATGGATTTTTGTCGTTTAGGGTGAACCAGGTTACAAGGGTGAACAAGGAACAAGAGGTTCTCCTGGCATACCTGGACCACCAGGGTTGCATGGAACCCCAGGACAACCAGGCCCTCCAGGACCATCCCCTGATGTGATAAGATGCTGAACATGCTTCATACACCAAACTATAATACATTCAACTTTATTTTCCCCTTTTTAGATTTCACCATGGATTTCTCAACTATCTCAGTCACAAGGTGGTCCTAACAAGGGTCCAGGAGTGGATGCACTGAGTTACTTGCAAGCTCAAGTAGGCCCCATTGGAGCCAGAGGGCCTCCAGGCCCACAGGGTCCACCAGGACCTCAAGGGTTCCAAGGGGCCAGAGGAGAACCTGGAGATGTTGGGCCACCTGGTCCACCTGGTGGCACTGGACCAAGAGGACTCCCTGGACCAATTGGCAAAGATGTTAGCTACTATGCCAGTTCAATGGCAAATTCTGGTCTAAATATTCATTATCTTTTACAGGGAATTCCAGGTGATGATGGACTTCCAGGTCCAACTGGTAGTCCTGGGCCCCCAGGAAGTAGAGGTTTGCCTGGCATGCCTGGCCTACCTGGACCTAAAGGTCACCGTGGGTTCTCTGGACTTGATGGAGCAAAGGGAGAGCAAGGGCCAATGGGAGAAAAGGTTGTGATTTTTGATACTTTTTTTTGTTTTGAAACCCTATTCATATTCCTTTCAATATCAATAGGGTTCACCTGGACCTCAAGGAGCCATGGGACCACAAGGACCAGTGGTTAGTGCACAACTCTTGAAACCAAAGTAACACTGAAATATTTGTATCTTCCTACATGTTATTTACTTTCATCAATAGGGACCAGCTGGCTCCAGAGGAGAAAGAGGAAGAGATGGTCCACCAGGTCCACCAGGTATCAGAGGTTTGGATGGCATGACTGGAGCACCTGGTACCCCAGTGAGTCTGTAAAGTGCATCTTCATGAACTAAGTCTGACTGAATAACTTTTTTTTTAAGGGAAACATTGGCAAGCCCGGGCCACCAGGGTTCCCAGGAAGCCCTGGAGCCAAGGGAGACCAAGGACCCCTTGGACCAAAGGNAAAGCGAGGTGTTTCTGGACCAATGGGTCCTCAAGGTCCGCAAGGACAGAGAGGATTGCCTGGAGCACAAGGCCTTCCAGGACCTGATGGACCACTTGGACCAAAAGGTTTTTCTGGAATTCCTTTTAATGACTTAAATTTAATTTAGTTATTTGAACCTTGATAGGGGTAATGACAGGAAATTAAAATACATTACAAAAATTAAAGAAATCTAACTGATAAATCTAGTCAAAATCAAGGAACTTTTTCCATTTACTGTACAGTATTTGTCTCTGAAAAATTTGAAAAGAGGAAAGGTGGTTTCAAAGACAAGTTTTCTTATTTCCCTGCAATATTGTTCAGCAGGTGTGGATCTGAAAAACAATCAGGTTTAACACTGATGGATTTAGGTCATAATTGGGAACAGAGTATGAAAAAATATCATTCAGTTTTTATACTCACTGGCTGTCCATCTCAAAGTGGGGTGTCAGTGACCTCTTTGTTCATGCCAAAAAACCCTAGGATGAAAATAATTCTATCAAAATTACCATCGGATAATACAAATTTGTCTCAGAGAATGCCAGAAAAAGATTAGATGCACAGTATTTACAAATGCCTTCAACTTTGAAGAATAAGTCACCATCTTGTTTTTTTATGGATGAAGGTAATTGTGTAAGTTTCTCTTGATGCTAACCCTTGGAAATATTAAGAGGGCCCTCAAAGGATTAAAATTTGAAATTGTTATTCATTTTAGGGCAAACTGGTGATGTTGGACCTCCTGGATCATCTGGTCCCAAGGGATCTCAAGGTGATCCCGGCCGACCTGGACCACCAGGACTTGCAGGGCTCAGGGGTCTCCCAGGAAGACCAGGGTTGATGGGAAAAGCTGGACGCATTGGAGACAGAGGTCTTCCAGGAGCAGATGGAAGGCCTGGAGAACAAGGTACTCCAGGACCTCAAGGCCTACCTGGACCAATGGGACCTCAGGGTGAAAAGGGGCCAATTGTAAGCTGTCATTTCAGGAGAAAACTTCATCCCTGAACTATTCATTTTGACCACATTATCCCAAATTGCAGGGTATCCCTGGCAAAGATGGGGAATCAGGACCACCAGGGGCACCAGGTCCCAGGGGTGACTCAGGAAAAGATGGTGTGCCTGGATCCCAAGGCCCACCTGGCCCTACTGGTCCAGCTGGTGACCGAGGGCCAACAGGACCTTCTGGCCCAAGAGGATTCCAAGTAATTGCCTTCTCTTTCAAGGGTTATTTGCTTTGCTACAAGTTACTTTGTATATAGGGACTTCCTGGAGCAACAGGTACCCCTGGAACACCTGGGAAAGATGGAGAACCCGGAGTTCAAGGTCCTCCAGGGCCTGATGGACCATCTGGCCCACGTGGAGAAAGAGGATTTCCAGGAGACAGAGGACCACAAGGGCCACCTGGTGCTCCTGGGCCAAGAGGAGAGCCAGGAATTATGGGAAAGGATGGCCTACAGGTTTGTTTGTTTTTTGCATTGCAATTTTTTTTATTTTGGATTCCAATGTGAAAACCTTTTCTCTTGTTTTGTTTCAGGGCCCACCTGGACTCACAGGTCAAAAGGGTCACTCTGGACCCCCAGGTTTGGTGGTAAGTTCACCAAAAGGTTTATTAAATTAGCCCCATTTTTTCATGGAAAAGTATTTCAGGGTTTGCCTGGACCAAGAGGACAATCAGGTATTCCAGGAGTAAAAGGAGAGAGAGGTTCCATTGGTCCTATTGGACCTGAAGGTCCACCTGGAAGAGTGGGTGAAAGAGGTAATCAAGGACCATTAGGTCCCCCAGGTCCACCTGGGGAACCAGCTGAAAAGGGTGAGGCTGGACCACCTGGCCCACAGGGAGAAACTGGGTCCCCTGGGGCACCTGGAGAAAGAGGACCAGTTGGACCACAAGGACTACAAGTACAGTGAAAGCAATTGCATCAAGTTTCTTATTGTCTTCATGATGATTCCTCATCAGGGATTTCCTGGACCTATTGGTGCACCTGGTACTCCAGGTACAAAGGGACAAAGAGGATTGCCTGGCTCAAAGGGTGAACAAGGTGCCTCAGGACCATCTGGTATGTAAAACATTTTGTCTCTTTTATTCAGTACAGTTAAAAGATACTCTTTTCTGCAACAGGACCAAGAGGAGAGACTGGCCCAATGGGTTTGACAGGTCTTGCTGGGCCAAAGGGACAAAGAGGAGAAATTGGACCACAGGGACAACCTGGAATGGTTGGAGCACCAGGAAGACCTGGAGAACCAGGACCACCAGTATGTCTGAAAAAGTCAATAAGACTGCTGTCATAATTTTTTTCTCAATACAATTGTTTGATTATAGGGTCAAGTGGGATCACCTGGTCCACAAGGACCCCAGGGAGTGTCTGGCATCAAGGGACAACCAGGAGAAACAGGTAGACCTGGTCTCAATGGACCTCAAGGACAGCCAGGAATGCCTGGTGCTGAAGGACAGAAGGGAGAAAGAGGAACCACTGGACCTATTGGACCTATTGGACAACAAGGACCTCAAGGACCTCCTGGTGACAGAGGTCTCATGGGTCTACCTGGACCTCAAGGATTAGCTGGACCAACTGGAAGACGTGGCTCACCAGTAAGTTTCAATGTACCAGAGATCTGAACTCTCTGATCCATTCTGTATTCTTTATAGGGAGAACCTGGAGTAGCAGGCAAACCTGGTAGTGAAGGACCACCAGGTCCTCAGGGTTCTTCTGGTCCACCAGGAATGCGAGGACCTCCGGGAGAGACTGGACCTGAAGGTCCAGCAGGAAAACAAGGATCTCCTGGAATTTCAGGAAGAACTGGAGATAAAGGACCTCCTGGGCCTCCAGGACAACAAGGACCCACTGGACCTCAAGGCTTACAAGTACCACATTCAAAAGCCACAAAAACTGAACAAAGCTAATTTGAATTCTGGTGAACTATGTAGGGACCTCCAGGGTCTCCTGGGCCTCTGGGTCCTGCTGGTGAGCGTGGGTTAAGAGGAGAAGCTGGCCCACAAGGTGTAGAGGGCCAAGCTGGTCCCAGAGGATTGCCTGGAGCACCTGGGCCACAAGGACTTAAAGGAGACACTGGAGCCATGGGATTCAAGGGAGACAAGGGCCACAGAGGTCTGATTGGTCTTCAGGGCTTGCCTGGACCTCAAGTAAGACAAAATTTGAATAAATTTAAAAAAGGCTTCATAACCTGCATGAATTACAATTTATATAGGGACAACAAGGAGAAAGAGGGCTCACAGGATCTCCTGGACCAGTTGGCAAAGATGGAGAGGCTGGGCCTAGAGGTGGGTGTCTTGAACTGAGAACTTCATTTTTGGGAACAATTAACATATGGTTTCAAGTTTAATAATTTTTTTCAGAACATGCAGACAGGTGGGTTACTTAAAATTTTAATTGAAGAGTCAATCACTTTTGAACAATGCAATTTAGGGTAACTGGTAAATTAGTGGTTTTAGTCTTTTTTTGGAATAATCATTTGTTTTCATGTTACATTATATATTACCTTGGTGATAACATTGAATGCCATGATTGAACATGAACTGACTCCACAAATTTGAAAACAGGCCCAGCTGGAAGAGATGGGTCTATTGGTCCAGCTGGTCTTCCTGGCCCACAAGGCCTCAGAGGAACTCCTGGTGAGCCTGGTCAACCAGGGATGCCAGGTTCTCCAGGTGGGTCTGGTCCACCTGGACCACCAGGGGACTCATTTGGCTATGATGCTGCTGCTCTGGCAGCTCTTCTTGGTCAAAGCATGGGAACTGTAAAGGTATTTGCTGAATTTAAGAAATAATGGAGTTCCCAAAGTTGAGCACTTCAATGCTGTTTCATATAGGGCCCAGATCCATTCAGTGGAGATGAACCTGCCAGGATATTCTCTCCAGACACACCAGCTGATGAGCGCAAGGATTTGATCTTCAAGGCATATGAAAATCTCAAAGAGTCATTCTCCAAACTCAAGAAACCAGATGGTGGAAAGACTTCTCCTGCTAAAACATGCAAAGAACTTGCCTTGACACATCCTGATAAACCATCAGGCATGTCAAAGAAATTTCTGAGAGCAAAACCTTCATAGTATCATCAACTCAATTTTTGATTGTTGCAGGAGAGTATTACATTGATCCCAACCAAGGCAGCCCTGATGATTCAATCATGGTTTTCTGTGACATGGAAAGGCAGGCAACTTGTCTCATTCCAAACGGTCGTCTTTCGTCCCTTCAATGAACCCGACCACTGTACAGGTGGTTCTCTCCTCTTGGATAAACCCAGTTACTCCTTTAAGTTTACTTGAACCGACACTCAACAAACAGTTTAAGGTAATGAGACGACTGATCAACTCAAGTTATGAATGCAGTCAGATCACGAATGTCAAAAGACTCAAATAACACAATTTGTCAGGGCAAAAAATCCATTTTTAAAAATCATGAATTTTAGCATGTTTTGATTTTGGAAATGCTTTCATTGGCAATGCTAATGACACCCTAAAATATGCAATAGATTAAAAATGTTTCATTTTTCAGCCCAAACATTTTATGAGTATCAGAAAGGTGAGACTTGAAAATTTCCTGAATTTTTCAAGTTACACTACTACTATACAGTCTTAATTCAATAAAGACAATTGTATTCTGTTAACTTGTTGAAATACATAGTCAGGTATAGCAATGATATGTGAATGTCTGAAACAGATTGAATGTGTTTTATTCAAACTTAAGCCAAAGTCATCTTTTGATTGATTTTTTTATGCAACATCCTGGAATTGATTACTTTTGTTTTGTGGCCAACTGTATTTATTTTTTTCCCTGCAGTTCACTTACAAGGCAGATGGGAACCAACATCGTAAGGACGTCGAGAACAGGTGTTTCCGACTGGTTCTCTAGTGTATAGTAACGTTCTTAAGCTGACAAATGAAACTAAGACGTTCCTTAAGGAAGTCCTTGAGACGGTTCAAGTACAGGACCTATGATGTGGAGTTGACAGCAAAGGGAAACAAGAGATTCACTTATGCTGTCAAAGATGATGGCTGCCAGGTAGGCTTTTCAGCAATTTTAAATTTTCCATGAGCCTACAACTTTCCTATATTTCTTTTTTGCAGAACAAATCACTTGACTGGGCACAGACAGTCTTCTCAATTGAAGCAGACAAGCCACAAAGACTGCCAATAGTTGACATGGGGCTCAGAGATATTGGGGAAAGTGGGCAGACATTCAAAATTGGTGTAGGCAGGGCATGTTTTATGTAAAAAAAAAAAAAAAAGAAGAGGTGTTTAGATAGCCTGTGTTTGCTCAAAACTGCTTTTTTGCATTGTTTTTTGTGCTTATGTTTTTGTCGAACCCACAGACAAATGCTCTGTGCAGGTGACAGTCCCAACTACCCAGAAGTACTTTCAGTGTGTGTCTGAGCAGAGAGTGGATGTTTTTATGATTTTTTCCTCAAGTTTTGCTTGCTGTGACGATTCAAAGTCACAATTATGGCAGCATGCTCCACCAAATGTGTTCAAATCATTTACCTTATGTCTTTGTGCTGACATTATGGGCATCTGCACATATTTGATCTTTTTTCTCCCTGAAATTTTGAGGAGTTCATTGTTTCACTGCCAATTAGGGTCTAGTCTATCAAACCTAAATCTTGTGTTCTGGGAGTAAACTCAATTGCTGTGAGATCAAATGATTCATGAAGAAATGATTGATTTTTTGTGTGTGATGAGAAGGGAATACAAACTGTTCTTCAGGGCGACAGCATGAGTCCTTCTCAAGAAAGTAAGAGTATTGAGTTTATGATACCTGAAAGTTTGGAATTTATTTCCCACAACAAAAACACTGTTTCCGGGAGAATTTCCTTTGTGCCACAAGTATGACAACGGCATGCCTCAAGGGTACCAGTAAAAATTGTAAAAGGTGCATTTTAAACAACATTCAAGGACGAGAGATCAGGTTTTCTTTATCTTCAATTTTACATTCTGGTTTTGTTCTTCTCTCAAGACTTTTGAAATTTCAGTGGCAAAGACTCGATCATCTTATTCTCGCTCAGATTACATCAGCCTCAGTCATCCAGACAGCTATGCAATTCTTTGACCATGCTTGTACTGGTTAATCAGCAATTTTTTTCACATTTAAGCCAACTTCACCCAATTGAAATGCATGTGACTCGATGAATCATTCCAGCATTTTTTAGATTAAGTTTTCCTCACTGATGTTTTGATAGAGCAAAAAAGCTCATTCAAACATGACTCAGTATACTCCACTAGGCCAGTAAAGCATTATGGAAAAGCAAATTTGAATCAGGAGAGAAACATCAACAAAGCCTATTTATTCCCTGGAGCGCAGGGATTTGAACGCTGGCGCGCAAGGAAGCTTGCGAAGTGAATTATCCAGATTCCCGGGAACCATCAACAGCATCAGGAGATCATTAAATGGAGGAAAAAATCAGTACTGAAGTGCTTCAAGCCTGGGATATTAACCCTGATTCGAACCGTCCCAAACAAAAATGTGCAGTAAAATGACCCACCATCATAGAACGTGCTCCCCCAGGCCAACCGCAATTGTTGCCACCAGCACGTACTAAATATGGATGAGTAACGAACCATGGTTAGTCAAAATGCAGGTTGTCGCAATTTCCCTGTTTCTCGCTTCTTAAAATCTGATTCATATTTTCTGATCCTGTTCCTGCATATATATCTGATGGGTTTTATAAATATTTTTTGAACTGAAACTTTTCAGAAATTCGCCCTACATATACTGCTGTACAGTGATAATGATGATTCCCGGGTGGGCGCTGACTCCGCTGAGATACGTTAAAGCTGATGGAAACCTGGGACAACCATTTCTCAGTTGTGTGCAACCACGTTTCGATGCATCATCTATTTGCGTTAGACAGATTCAGCACTTCGGTACGTCGTTCGTGAAAAATGCCCATTAAAAACTGTATGCTCGTCAGAGCTTTACAGTACAGCTCATGTCTTTCTAGAGGTCTGTGAGTGCAATTTTTCAGGCCGAAATTTGTGAAATCATTCTTTACGACTGCGTAATTGATGATATTGTAAATGGCGTTACAATATATTATTTGTATTCCGCTTAGAAGAACTGGTGGAAAAATCAGTCAAGAGCCCGCCTGAAAATTGCAGTCTTCCATTAAGTTTATCCCCGTGCAGGTTTGTTTCCATTAGGAGCTGTAATGCTTGATTGTTTGATATATTTGAGTGTCACAATAATCTGGTGAAATTATTCCTCGTTGCAATCAGCAATTGAAACACATTATTGATTCGGTTTCTTGCTCGTTGACGCGGATTCCAACGCATTATCGTGTCTATAGTTAACCCAGAGGTTGTATCAGATGTATCCAGCAGAAAAGTCTTTGGTTGCATAGGTTGAAATTGAAACTACAGTATAGACGCAGCTTGTGTTGGGTCAAGTATCAGCTTTTCAGCTATAAACGACTACACGTGCAAAACGAGATGCTCTGAATGAATATATAGCAGAAGAATTGATAGTACGATGTATCTCTGTTCTGGTGCGTATATACTGTCGCAACTGCGGGAATGGGTCAGAAAGATATAATTTCAAATGTATCTCAGCATTAATCTTTTATATTTTTCTTCGCCGCTTGTTAATTTGATTTAACTTATTCATTTACCCGTATTATTAGGAGATCAGATAACAATCAGCGTGAGAACTTGGCATTGATATCCACAAAAATAGGCGATATATTCGCTCAGTGTAGTATTTGATGTACAGTACATTATATAAATACTTATTCGGACAGACACTTATTTTTGTGCGAACAAATAAGCGACGCAATCATTCAACCATATTCAATTTTATCAATGATATCCAATCTGTACTACTGCAAAATATGTTCGCTGCAATCATGACATTGAGCCGCAGTCCCGTATTCGTCATTGTGATGGTTGTGTTCCCGTCAAAGATGCTATTGCTCGGTGATAGTGTTCGTGTTCCTTTGGCATTACCGCGTTTTCCTGTCCGGTTCTTCGTGCGAAATATCTTCTTGGCGAAGTGGATCGGGTAGCAGTAAAGAGAGCAACTCCATGACAGTGTTACGAATATCTCACTGTCGACGAAAAGCTCTCTTCAGCGCCCCCTTGTCCTCAACCTCCTTCCGTTGCCAAGTGCAGGGCGTCGGTGCGTATCTCGCTGAGTCACTCCTGTTTGCCACCGAAGACGACGATCGCGGCAAGTGATTCAGTGCTTGGCAAACCCGAAATCCAGGTCTAGTCGAGGGCATATGTATTTAAACGGCTACAATAACTTACGGTTGCTATTCCAGGTCATGGGAACACAACGTGTTATTTGAATGAGGCGGGACGTCGCGTTGGGCTACGAATCTTTCCAGAGGGTGATTCATTTTCTCAGCGGAGAATAATTCGGACTCCTTTGCTCCGCTCTTCTTTGCAGGAAGATATTGTCCGTGTGATCTCGAGGGAATGGACTTTCAGGCTGCTGAAAACAGATTTGCTCTAGCCATTTCAACAGCTAAATGAAGAAGATAACAGTGAATCTACAGGAATTCCAACCGAAAATCCAATCCTTCTTTCAGTATCTGTGATATGGACTACGGTCTTTTGTGCAAAAGGCAATAAATCTGATCAATTTTTCGTTATTTCGACGATTAGTTTGATTAACGATTACTTTGAATTTACTGAGTCTCAACGACAAGAGATTATTTAAACTTCGAATTCAGCAATTCTATTGTACGAAACATACCTACGTAAATGAATGTTGATGCTATTTCTAGATTCACTCACTTACTTCGAATGTATATACGCTAAACCTAGATTCATCAACTACCTAGAATTTTTTTGAAATCACATTTTTCGGAATCCGACGGATCGAATCAAGCAGACGAGAAACTATATACAGTACTGTATATACAATCAAGAAGTTGCTTTAGCCTATCTCCTTGATCCAATAAACTCTCCTCTCAAATTCAATGAGCCGATGATCAATGACACGTAATAAAATTCCATCGTAAAAATATTGTATTAGTATGGAAATTCTCCTTTCGCAACTCATATGCCTGATTTTCTGAATGTTATTGTTAATGATGGGCAGTATTCAAAGTACTTCATCACTTCCTCGCGAAATATATAGACACATACCAGAATCAACACTCAGGTGAGAGAATCAACTTCGTTTTTGCAAGCAAGACGCATTTTTCACGATCACCGGAAGGGTGTTGGTACTTCGCGCTGTGCTTCACTTACTTTCTGATCGTCAGGTTTCTTTTCTATTTTATGCTCTCTATATATAGGTGTGACTAAGTGAATGGCTTCTGTCGAGTCCGTTTCTGTCTGTTATTGAATTCAGTGTACGATGGATTTATTATTAAACAACGCGCACTTCCTTATTTGCAAAACTTGACTTGGAAGATCCGGGTACTTCTCATATTACGTTCGATAGCATCTTAAATTGGAAGGCGAAGTACGGTACATGATTAATTCTGACTGACACACGGACTTTTGAATGGAAGTGAAGCGTGAAACTTGATATCTCAAATCTTAATTGGCAGTACAGTATTTTATTTCTAGTTCCAGAACACGAAACTTCGAATTTATGCTAATCGTGAGAAATAGAAAAAACTCTTCGGATCTTTATCAATTTATTCAAAAAGTTTAACTGTGCAACATTTCTTACTTGACGGAATCGGGAAAAGATTAGAACCAAGCAGGTATATCCATTCAAAATATCTCAACTCTCCAAACAATATGGACTTAATGACAGGAATGGATCTAGAACATTATCTGAAGCATCGCAGTACCATAAGGTTGAATTCAGCTTGACATTCTGTATAATTAACATGATCCATTCATGTGAAAAGTCCATTATCTGGAATGTCAAGCTAAATTTCAATTGCAGTTTTATAATCTTTTTTGAAGTTTCAGGGATTTTGCATTATACAGTAAGACTTCTCAAAGTCAAATTTCAAGGGACCAGCAAAAAAATTCAACTTAGGAAGATTTCAAGCTTGGGAAGCAATTGAGGGAAAAGCAGGAAATTTTATATGGTCATACAGTTTGGGCCTTGAATTGCTTTTTAAATGAGTTGAAGGGATGCTGAACTTTGGCAGGGTTCATTTGCCCAATCATTCTATCTTTTTCCTTTCAATCAAAACAGCTCAGTTACTTTTTTCTTGCTTCTCTCTCTTTTACATAAAAAAATAATAGCAGATACGCCTCAGAAAATTTTAGTTACAGATGTTTGAGAGCAAAAGCTTTTAAGTTATAGATATTTTAATGTATTTTTTCTAATGAAATTCAGATAGGAACTTCAACAAAAATCAACTCAAGGAGGTCTGAGTTACTGAGGTTCAATTGTACTTGATTTGAATGGGAACTTCTGGATTGAGTGTAGCAGAAACATTGTATAGATATAGATATTTTTTAGATATGTTATAGATATTTTTAATGCATTTTTTATAATGAAATTCAAATAGGAACTTTAACAAAAATCAACTTAGGGAGGTCTGAGTTATTGAGGTTCAACTGTACAATACTTGATTCTAATGGGAAATTTTGGACCAAGTATAGCAGAAAATTGTTTTATGGCAGTAATTGAAAATTAGCTGAATTAAGCTTAAATTCATGACTGAATTCAAATTTGGGTGTTCTTATCTTTCAAATATTTTGGTTCTACAAGGGTCAATAAAAATAGTTTGTGTCTTAATCTATAGGAAACAATTTTATCAATATTTTCAATTTGAAATCCCTGGTGCACCTCTTAAATTACTTGAGTAAATACAGTATAGCTCAACAGTTTCCTGGATGATGGACTCTTATTATTATATCCACCCACAGGAATAATGGATCAAGTCCATTATCCGAAGCACCAGCAGCAGCAGCACTGCGCAACTATC